AAAATATCCCTAATGGTTACTATTGAAATTTGCCTAATCAAAATTTTTTTATAACTCTTACATCATCATCATCATCAAGGCATTCCTAGTTAATTGAAAGTCCTCCTATTCTTTTTATTTGTACCTATTTCAGCTTTGGAGAACCAAAAACAATGAAACAATGAAAAAAAAAAAAACAACAATAAAGGAAAACACCTTTTTCTGTTACGGCTCCTTGCAACAAAGTTCCATTTAAAAGCAAAGAAAAGTTATATTTCACGTCCTGTAATTGAGACCCCGTTTCGGTCACGTATAAAAAGCAATCTCACGCTCAAAAGTTTTTCTTGTTTAGAGGGCTAAAAATGGGCAATTTTCCAAACTTTGTATAACTAGCCCTTTCGAAAGTTATAATTCAATTATTTCCGATGTCAGTGGTGGAAAATCTGCTACTAATTGCCAATTTAATGTCTTCGCGTTGAGGCCGGTTTTGAAAAACTTTTTGTTCGACGGGGAAAGTGATAAACAACATCGCCATGTTGCGTTTGATCAAAAATTGTTGATTTTTATGAAGGGCCCCAGACAATGTTTAGGTCTAAGCTTACAGTTAAACACGGAATTGAATTTCGCTAGGAACCATAGGCTGGCACAGTAATTTTGTCCTATTTGATGTACCTACTCAGGGATACGGAGTCGAGGTCAGGTAAACGTAAAAGAATGTCCGTTGGTTTGAGTCAGTTGTAGTTGCCCGAGTGTGATGGAAGTACGTGACGGATTTGGACGTGCAACGCACTCAAGAATTGATGATTCCGGTATTAGGTCACGCTGCTGGAGGGCAACCGATCATTTTGTTGTCAAATTTAAATGTTTCTTTCTTTCGATATTCCTTTTTAATTTATGCATATCATTCTGTCTCCTTTTTTGTGTAAGGGGATTATTATGCTTTCTCTTCTGAGATCTTCTGGTTTTCCCAGTGTTACAAATAAATTCAGTTATTTGAACTTTAAGATAAGAGAATCTATAGGATCGTGGAATTCAAAAATAAAGATTACGTGTAGCCCCTTTATGTGCGAATGAAACCTCTCAAATTCCAACGAACAATAATTTTATTTTATTTTATTTTTTTTTCACAACGTAAGTAACAATGTTACTTTTCCTTCAAATTTGACAGTTAACAGTTTGGTTCTGGTGAATCTGACACAATATAAACCTTTCCAATCCGGAGCTCTTCAATGGATGTTGGGGTTTTATTTTCGTGAACTGGAGATCTTCGTGTTGTTTCCTGTATCCAGGAAAGACAAAAGACCGGATTCACTTCATTAATGAAATACCACGCTGATTAAAGGGGAATAGTTAAAAACACACCAGAATTATTTTAATTGTTTACAAATTACAAAAATTTAAATTGAGGTTATGTTGAAAACACAAAACCACTAATTGAATAGGTCAATAAGCCAAAAATAATTATTTCAGAATCAGAAAATAGAGATAGACAGAAATATATCTATTTGCTACAAGTGAGATCAATATAATTTCTTTAAATGAAAATACGAATGACTGTCAATGAGAAATGATAAAAATCATACTTTAAAAAATAAATTTATCAGGTACTAGATGGCGGTACCTTCTTTTAATAACAGATATTTGCTTTTATGCTCATTAAGGATAGATGGCAGTACTGATATTATATTGAATTAATTAAATTTTGTAGATACTTTTAAATTACTTAAGTTATGATTTATTATTTTGCTGATTCTAAAATAGCAAAAATACAACTTTGTAATGAAAATTAGAAGATATGGAACATGTTACGAAAATAATAAATTTATCGTAACATCAGATAGTTCTTATGAGATCGTGTAGTTGGGATGTGGCTGTGTTTCCGGCATGTTTCAAGAGTTCGGCGGTTATCATGTTTTTACCCGGAGATTTTTTGTTCGTCAACTTTTCTATAGCATTCTCAATTTCCATTCGAGAGGAATACCCTTCTCGCATTTTCGTGGTTTGGAAGCTGGCCGGTTTTTTGTTGTTTGTATAACCCTGGTTGTTCAAAGTACTTCTTTCCATGTTTGCAGAACTACGAAGTTCTTTAAAATGGTTATACAATGTATATCAAATTGTATTCAACAGAATTCCGGTCTCCTTAGCTCAGTTCAGTTTAAACCCTTTTTCTTGGGTGTAAAGATTTCAATGTCAATATAAAAAATTGAGTAAAAGGTCTCTAGAACCTGGTCGATATTTGACAAATCATCAATAAAACCTCAATCTACATTTTGAAGGTAATCGTCAAGAGCTGACAGATTAGCTTTTCGAAAGTCGTATTCATTGTTTAGCATAAGATCACCCTGCAGGCAATCGGACATGCGGTCAGATAACGAAAGCTTACAAACAATATCAAGTGGAGGATGCTTACAGTCAACTTTAACCAAACAATCATGACTTTCCACAACCGAAATACCTGAGAAATTAGCAAACACAAAATCCAAAATAATCTTGTTAATGTTTTCTATGTGATTCAGCTGCATCAGATCGTAGAAGCTGTTGCAGTCATAAAGTAGTCGTTCACACTCGTTACTACTGGAAAAGTATGCCTTTTGATCGTTATTACTGACAAAATTAATTATCCGTTTCCATGGCTGTATTACACTGTTGATCTTGTTTGGATTGTACATTTTTTGAGCTTGATTAACTGATTCTCAGCTCTAAAAAGGTCCGAGTCTATGTCGGCCCCTCGACAGCTTCTTACATCGTGGACTTTGCTTCCATGCCTTGCATCAGTTATGACGGGATCAATTTGATTTTTGGTTCCACCGTTATTGGAGGCCCATGTCTCTTCATGGATATCTTCATGTCCATAGAATCAAGGAGGTTGTTGAATGCTGCTAGTTTCGAAAGTCTAGTCTATTGTCATTTGATAATATGTTTAGGCTATTTGTACCCATGTGGGACTTCTGTGCCGCTTCTCTTCCTAGCTAGTCGTAGAACTCGTCCTTGACTGCTTCATCTTTGTCTTTGGTTGGTGCGTGTACAGACAGTAAGGAGTAGTCATGGAATGTTCCTTTCATCCTTTGGTAGCATAGTCCTGCGCTTGGGGGTTTAAATTGAAACCTTTTCAACGGTCGATTTGAAATTACTGATATTTCCCAAAGTACAGCAAAACCTCATCCCCAAATAAATCAAAATTCCAAAATAAATTTAAGGCTCAAGACATATTTTGAATAAAACTCTTCTCTGCAGATTGTACCGGCTGCTCACTTTTAGTCGTCTCCCAGTTTTCCTAAACTCCTATACATATTACTGTCGGAATTTTCCTTCATGCGGAAGGATATAAATAGTTTCTAACTTCAAATTAGCATTGGTAAAATATAAAGAACTCCTACCAATTGATTGATTGATTGATTTGAAAGGGGAGCCTTCAAAGGTAGCATGTAGACGCGCATGTGGTCCATTGTGCTATCCACCTCTTGGTGCAGCCCTGTCTTACCTTCTTCTTCAAGTGCCTATCCGTTCCGGATGTTGGCTATCAACATGGCTATTCTTACTTTGTTAATGGCGATTCGGAATTGTTCTACTGTTGATTTATCAAACGACGTTCTAAGATTTGCTTCGGCCAGGTGCTCTCCTGCTATTAATTTTGCCTTGTAGGATTTCCTGAGGCAGCCCATATCTATTTGGGTTCCTCATTATGTGGCCGAAATACTGAAGTTTCCGACATATTATGGTATCTAACAGTTCTGGTTCTTTATTCATCCGACGCACTATTTCTCTGTTGGTAATTTTTATGTCCAAGATATTTTCAGTATTCTCCTGTACAGCCAGAGTTCGAACGTTTCAATTCTCCTGGTAATCTCTTTAGTGAGTGTCCAAGTTTCTAGTTTCTAAGCCATACAGAAGGACCGAAAAAACCTAACAGCGCAAGAGTCTAAGGTTCATGTCTAAGGATAGATTATGGCTTTTGAAAAGCGAGCTCATTTTTATAAACACAGAACGGACCTTTTCGATGCGAAATCGTATTTCTTGAGAATTGTCGTATCTCTTTCTAATGATTGCCCCCAAGTATGTGTACTGCTTTACTCTTTGTATTCTACTGTGATTGATGTATAAACTGTTTTCCGCGATATTTCTTTCACTTACTATGAGGAGTTTGGTTTTGTTTATGTTCATTTTTAACCCGTACTGTGAGCTAATTCTGATCACCCTATCCATCAACATTTGTAATCCTTGAAGACTGCAAACAAAATGGTGCCATCTGCATATCTTATGTTATTAAGTTTATTACCGTTTATAGTGATTCTTTCCTCAATGTTGTCTAGTGCTTCTCGAAAGATGAATTCTGAGTACACCTTAAATAATATGGGCAACGAAACACAGCCTTGCCTCACTCCTCGTAGTATATTTATTTGTTCTGTGTGACTGCCATCAATTCTCAAAACTGCCGTCTGGTTCCAATATTAGTTAATAATAATATTTAAATCTTTTTGATTCATTCGTATTTGCTTCAGTATGTTGACCATTTTATCGTGTCGGACTCGGTCGAATGCTTTTTGACAATCGATTAAGCAAGCATATGCATCACAGCTGACATCCCTAAATCTCTGCAACAACACCTGAACACCAAATAGAGCCGTTCTTGTACCGACGGCATTCACAAACCCAAACTGGTCCGGTGAAATCTGTTCTTCATAAAGTCTATATATTCTTTTGTGTATTATCTTGAGAAACAGCTTCAAGAGATGACTCATCAAAATTATTGTTCTTGAATCACCGCAGGTTTTGGCACTTGCTTTTTTTCGGCAGTGTGATAAATTCTGACCTCAATCAATCCGCTGGAATTTCTCCTGTTAAGTAGATGTTGTTGAATATTCTGGTCAACCATTTGATTTTATCTTCGTTCAGTAACTTTAGGACTTCAGTCTGTATTTGGTCTAGACCAGCCGTGGCTTCATTTCCGAAATGGCGGCTATTACCTCATTCACCAGAATTTCCGGTCCCTCTCCTACAGTTGGTTTTTGTTATTTGCGTACATCATGGAATAGATTCTCTAGATATGTATTCCAGGCCTCCTTCTTTTTCTTCGCGTCAATAATGATTTCTCCTGCTTCGTTGACCAAAGGTTTACAGTTGTTTTTGTGGCCTTTCCTTGTTACTTCTCGGACCTTCCCGTGAACATTGAAGTCATCGTGCATGTTTTGATGGTGTTCGATCTCGCAACATTTTTCTAGTAGTTCTTTTTTCTTTCAGTTTTCTTATTTCCTGTTTTATAATTCATGGTACACGTTTATTTTCTGTTGGATTTCCTTTATTTTGTCTTCTTTCTTCTATCAAGTTTAATATTTCTGTCGTCATCCAAGATTTTCTCTTTATTTTGTCCGGTTTCAATATTTCCTTCTTTACTGTTTCTACTGCTTGCTTTAATTTGTTGAGTTCCATATCGACATTGTTGTTTTCATTTGGTTGAATGTGGTCGTTGAGCATTATTGCTGCTGCTTTCTCTATTGCTGGGGTTTCGAGTTTCTGAAGGTTATAGTTTGGAGTCATCTTAGTGTTGACCTTCATTTTCACCTTAAATACACCAACCAAGGGACAGTGATCCAATGTCAGCTCCTGGATATGTTTTGTGGGATAGGCAGCTATTTCTGAACCTCTTATTGAGTAACATAAAGTCAATTTGGTTTCTGACTATTCTTCCCGGTTCATCCATATGCGCTTTCCACGCATATATTGCTCTTGGCGGCAGTTTGAACCAAGTGTTCATTACAAGTTCATTTGTTACTGCAAAAACTTCAAGTGTGTCCCCTCTTTTGTTTCTTTCATCTAGTCCATGTGATCCTATAATGTCTGATGTATGACCTTCTCCCACTTTTGAGTTAAAATCGCCTAATACAATGCGATATCATGCTTCTTCAGTTCTTTTTGTATATTATTGAGTGTTTACACATTTTCCACTTCTTCATCTTCTTTATCCAGCGTAGGGGCGTATATTTGTATGATGTTCATGTCAACCGGACTCGCTCTTATTTGGATGAGTGCAATTTTTTCTGATACGTGTATAAAGGCTTTCACAGAAACCGTTATTTTCTTGTTCAAGACATAACCCACACCGTGTTCATGTCTTCCATTCGTAGTGCCTGAAAACAGAACTCTATAATCCTCGAAGTTTATATCACCAGTGCTGTCCATCTCATTCCACTTATTCCAAGGATATCTATCCTCATTCTTTGTATTTCCTTGATTGTTTCGTGAATTTTACCTTGCGGGCTCATTGTTTTTACTACATTCCAGATTGCAATATTTTATTATTTATTATTTTAATTTATTATTTCCTCTCTGGTATCGATTGCTCTAACGTCTCTGCTTGTAACTGTCCCTTCCGGAGATCCGATTGAGGGGCTTACTCCGGATGTTGATTTAGTTGCAAGTATAGCCATTTTGATTCTACTAGGACATATCCGTTTTGGATCTTTAATCAGGTGGGTGTCCAAAGTTCTGCCTCATCCTTATGCCGTTGACAGTTCTACTGTTCATCCGCCTTTGGCAATGGTTTCCCAACTCCAGGACAAAAGAGTGCCCTTCCCTTCTCGACTCTTCCACCCGAAGGGGTTTTGAGGTTATACCGCCTCGACTCTGGTCGCCATAGCCTCGTTTGTTATCTAGCAGAATGTACCACGTACAGGTGAGGTTGACATTTGGGTCGGTGTTTCTTTAAATATCAAAAGTCCGCAACTGTTGAGAAAGGTGCAGACCCGCTCAGGCCGGATATGCTTTATTTCATCAGGTTCCAGGAAAGTGTACCCGAGGTATCGTAGTCTGCGTCTGACGAGAGCGTCACATTCACAGACTATATGCTTGGTAGTTTCATCTACTTCGCTGCAGAACCTACATTCCGTCTCATTGCTGAGTCCGATTTTGTGTAGGTGGTATCTGATCATCCAGTGTCCCATCAGGACGCTTGTGATGGCTCTTAGTTGACTCCTGTTTAGTTTTAGGAGGCTTCTTGCCTCTTTGAAGTTTGAGGGACCTTGTATAAAGTTCATTGACTGTCTGAGGTCTTCTTATTCCAGCCATTCGTCTTGGAACCGGTTGTTGGACCGGTTCCTGATCTTGGCTTTCACCAGGCAGGAAGCAGCCCCAAGAGCAGGCTCGGGCATAATAAAGGCAGTTTTGCAACCTTCACGAGCCAGCTGGTCTGCCTCCTCGTTGCCTTTTATGCCCCAGTGATCCGGGACCCACACAAGAGTGACCTTGTTGAGCCCACTGAGGAGCTTAAGGGTTGTTAGACAATCAAACGTGAGCCTCGAGTTGACTTTGTCTGAGCCAAGGGCTCGGAGTGCTGCCTGTATGGCGTAGATCTCAGTCCGGTATACCTTTGGGTATCGACACAGTGCAAGACTTATTCTCGCCACAGGTCTCTGCCCATATACACCAGCCCCTGCACCCTGCCCCGTCAGAGACCAGTCTGTGTACCAGATGAGCCCCTTCGGCTTGAGAGAGCCTGGGTCAAGCTCTAGCCAGTCGTCCCTTGCGGGGATTTCGACCTTGAATTGTCTAGGAGGTTTTTGGCATTGCATCTGGTCGAAGGGGGTCCTGCCTGATGGTGTCAGTCCAGGTCCTTGCATGTCCAATACTCAGCCCTCTGTCAATCCATTGTCAGTATGGCCTTCCTCGCCATAGTTGGGATAGTTCTAAAGGCTTCAATTGTAGCCATGCAGGCAAGTCGTTGGAGCTTGTCTAGCTTTGCCCTGTAGGTGGATTTGCTAAGCGTATTCCACCAAACTGAGCTGCCATACGTGCTCATTGGCCTTATCACTGCTATTTAAAGCCAGTGGACTATGTGAGGTTATAAGCCCCAGGTGCGTCCGATGGATCTTCTACAGGCCCAAAGGCTAGCAGTGGCTCTCTGGACGATCCTGTGATTTTTCCAGATCAGCATAGAGGCATTGATGACTCTTAGATATTTGACCATACCGGATGGAGCAAGTCTCGATCTAAAGAGCGTGAGCCCTCCCAGATCCACGTTTCTTCGCTTTGTGAATGGTACTACCTCGGTCTTGTCCAGATTCACCGAAAGTCTGTGATTTTCACACCATCTCTCGATCTCTCTACCATGTTAGGAGCTCTTTGCATAATTCCTTCAATGGTGCTGGGTACCCTACCAGCCACCACGATGACAATATCGTCTACTTAGCCTTGAGCGTACTTACCTTCCTCGTTCAGAGTGCGGAGCAGCCCATCCAGTACCAGGTACCACAGCAGAGACGACAGTACACCCTCCTGCGGGCAGCCTCTAGCTATGGTTAAGCTGATCTTCGTACTACCAATCGAGCTTGTGATGATTCTGCTTTCCAGTATGACACAGATCCATTTGACAATGGTGTTCTCTTTGTCAAAGCTTTGTGATCAAGGTCTAAGCTGAACAGGATGTGTTTGTGATCCGATAGGGACGGTTCGTCTGACAATGTCCACTTGCTTAGCATCGGTGCCATGGAGAGTGAGCCCAATATCAAGTCTATCACCTCTTGTCTACGCAAAGTGACAAAGTTCGGTGCGCTGCCACGGTTCAGGATTTTTAAATCCGTGGTGTGAAGGTAGTCTGAGAGAAGACTGAGTCCTCTCCGATTCGTGTTGGTGCTGCCCCACACCATGTGGTGTGCGTTGACATCGCATCCCACAGTCAACGGAAGGGACAGTGAGTTACAGTACTCCACCAGATCGCTGAACTCCCGTGTTGGGGGATCATCTATTTAGTCATAGGACTATCGATCCGCTCTGTCCCAGTATGTCCTTGAGGCGTAGCTTTAGCGCTACTAGGTCTCTAGAGCAGAAGTTAGCTATTAGAGTGGACTCGATCCGTCTGTCGACATAGATGCAAGTCCTTGGGTTTAGTTGGAAGTCCCTTTTATAGAAAAGAGATCTTTTTACTCTCCCTAATCCTCTTACGCGAACCTTGTATGCCCAAGGTTCTTGTAGGAGGTATATACTCCTACCAATTAAAAATCCAATTACAAAAAAACGACAAAATATTAAATCGGGAAAATCAAACTAGAGTACTTTGAGCAAATATATTCTTACAACAATCTTAGCGGAGCGCTGCCATCCTCAGTGCTAAGTGAAAAGAGAGAACAACAAGCCCGGTAAAAAGTGAAGTGGTGAGGTTATATACGGCAGAAGGGGGAATCAAATTGGGAGAAAAAGGTTGTCACTTGTCAGTTAAAGTGCACAGGAACCACTGAATGGACAATAGAGTCATATAAACACAAATTGTGGACAGTAAAATTGAATAAATATGTATAAAAATTGTGAATTTTTTTAAAAAGGACTGGACTACAAATTAAAAATTGCGACTGAGTAACATATTGAAACCCCAATTCCCAATGTATTAAAAAGGGGGGAAGGGTTGAAGGCATTACCCTTGAGTTTGGTTCGTTGCTGCTTCTGCCATATACAATCTCATCGCTTGACGAGACAGAACTTTCTAACGGGCTTGTTGTTTTCTCTTTTCAGTTAGCATTGAGGAAGGCCGGGAGATCGAAAGCTCTCTGCTAAGATTATCAAATATTATATTTGCTCGAAGTACTCTAGTTTTATTTTCCTGAGTCTTCGACGAGCAACACAGCCACTCACTCGACTTCAAAATCTTAAATAGTCTTCTGTATCTGTATGGGACGGTGGTCGCTCGGCGAGCGGAAAAGTAAACAAACCGCTCACTCATCTAAAAAGTGCTAGTTACTTCGTGCTTTCTATTGAAAGCGCAAATTTCTATTTTGCGCTCGGTTGTAGGAAAAGGACATCACGGTACCAAATGTGAATTAGTTTACTTGGTTTTGTACTAATTCATTGTCAGCCTTTTTTCATTCGCAATCGATTTATGGCCGGTTTAAGTTCATGCCGAGTATTACAACTTCTGGTTGCACCGACTTTATGATTGACCTAGCCTGCTTCTGATGCGTATTGACGGAAGAGCGTCTTTCGTTTTTAGTAAAAACTTGTTCATCAACTTTTGACTAAAAAAAAAATTCTCAGCGAATTCAGAAATTATCGTGAGAACCATACTAACTTCGTTACTTTAGAGTATAATTGAAATTAATTGTATTAAAATAAGCTAGTTGAGTCGGGTTATGATTTATTGTTAACTGTATGTTAGTTCGGAGTCATGAAAAGAAAAAAAAATCTGACATGTATTATAATAAAGCGCACCATTATACCCACTAATACGAATGTTTTTCATATTTTCGATTATGGTCTCCTTACCTTTTCATCATTCACAAAAAACGTGATATTGGCAGCAGGGTGAGAGGGCGGTGCATGGCAGTCTGCTATTAGCGGCCTGCCGTGCTCCAGGCCGGTTTTATCAACCATGACTAATGGGACGCCAGCAGGCACGACTGAAACAAAGAAGTTGTTCTCGATTAGAAATTTGTTGCAGCTACTGTAAGTATGGCTTTTATAATATATAAAGCTCAACCTCTTCTAGGCAACTTGTTTTTATTCCCAAGATGTCTACTCAAGTCTACGTGATAATAGGCGAATAAATATAAAATACTTTGAAAAACAACATACACTCAAAAAAATAACCATTGTTAGGTCAGCAATCATATTTAGTTAAACATCTTATTGTCGCAATACCAAAGTAGGTATATGGTAATACAGATTTAAAAAAATATATATTAAACAGGTAGAATAACAATTAAGTTATTGTTGGCATTATTATTTTTGAATCACAAATTTATTATTGCTTAGGTAACTAAGTATAGATTGTTAAATAAATATATAGTCAAAACAAATATAGAGAACTGCTTAAAACATAATGTTGTGATGGTAATAATAGGCTATTTTTGGTTCAATTATATAGAATCTAGCCACCGAAACAATACCGTATAAATAGGATAAATGTATCAGTGTGATTCCGAAACCGATACGGTCAATTAATTTAGCGATATCATTCCCGTATATGACCGTGTATTTTGTGGAATCGGCATAAGTTCATGTTTCTCTTACACGTTTGATTAGGAGTAGGTACCTTACGTACCCGGGCCTCAGCCTCACGCGCTGGCACGTGACGGCTGCAAGCAAGCTATTTCACCCTACCACACCAATTCAATTCCAAAATGGCCAGGAACCAGGAATAGTTTTTCTCTCACGAGTGCGGTCTTTCAGTTTTTCACAATTTGATTCTCCTTCTAAAGCCCTTCTTTATATTTTATTTGTGTCTAAACGTAAACGTGAACCTCGTGAACTATTAAAGCTCGCGGTAAAGTGATTCTAAACCAAGTAAGTGAATAATCCAAATAGTTTTATTGATCTATTTTTTCAAGTTTACATAATATGCATATTTTGTAGTGATCTCTAACAATCAGATTTTAAGTTTCGCTTCCAAATACCTGTATTTAAAGGATAAATGTTTACGTTTATGTGTAAGTTATATTGAAAGACCCTATGTTATCTTTATACTAATAATTCTCCTTTCCTATGTTAATTATAGGCGTACGGCTATGTCAATACTAATAAATATATAAAACTGCTTAATCAGCGGTTCTGCACTGGTAGTACCGCCACCTGCTTAGGAAAATGCTTGGATCAGCAAATATTTATTATTTAAGCCAGAGCTTTCCAGTAAGGAGCGTTCATTTGTTTTCAGGCACTCCCTGTAGCAATTTGATAAATGTTTTTTGAAAATACAAGTTTCTGAATCGAAAATATAATTTGTATGATGTCTAGTTCACTTATAACTATGTAGGTTTTATATTTATATTTGCAGAATAATTTTTTTAAATATTTTGATTTTTGTTTTTGTTCATCTCCTGTACCTGTTTGAAGAGCATTGATAATTCTAATAAAACACATTGTTAGAAGAGCAATAATTGGCATTAAAAAACTAATTATACATTATTATTGTTCCAACAAATGTTGTGATTGCAGATCATATATAATATGGTTGATGGAAATTAGGAAAAAGCTAATTATATCAATATCAGATTGCAATAGCAATAATATTTTTGTTGTTTTTAAAATATTTACATGTATGAGAAGCATGCAGCTTTGGTAGGACAAGCAATATAATCTAGGTGAAAAAACAATAATATTTGTGAAGGAACAATTACAATTAACAATATATTATATTTATGATACTTCTAACTATGTGTGTGGTTGTGCCTATATCAACTGTATTAAATTGTTGCATTATACATATTTCTGGTTGTGATAGCGACAATTTTTCTGAGTGATAGGAATATTAAAAATTTGGGAGAGCGATTGATATTCTTTATAAGAGGGATCTTTGGTTTATACGGCATTTTTATCCGGGATGACTAATGGGTTTTCTGCAGTATCAACTGATACAAAGATCTCGGCTAGAAATATATCATATTTGTCTTATTTATGAGCAATGAATTATGTTTCATTTGTTGGTAGTGGTGATCTATAATCCTAAAGCCACGTACAGGCCAGGATAAAATCAGCGGAAACATTTGTCGACCGACTGCATCTTTTCTGTGGCTCTTGAAGTGGCCGATTTGCCGCGGACGCAACAACAAAATCGGGCTGCATTTTTAATAAAGAAATATGTCGTCCAAACGGGATGTTTTTATTGGAATTTGAAGTTAGTTTGTGGATCAGTGTTCACTTAGATGCCATATTGACCAACTAAATAGTTGCAGCTTTAGATGTGGACAAGATACATTTGCATTTATTCATTTACGGGCCGATGTTGGAAAGAAAAGATACATCGGCCAACAATGTCCCCGTCGATTCTGGTCGGTGCGCGAATTCTACAATTTATTCAATTAAGTCAACTGGATAAATCGTATTTTGGAACAAACGAAAAAATAACTAAAGTTTTCTATGCAATTCGGAAGCAGTCATACGATAAATTCGAAAACATTTGCTCGAAAATTGTTCAACCTCTACAAAGCTGTCCAATTTTGTTTAATAAAATTTCAATTTTATAAATACTGACCATAGCAGTTCTCCACGGACTATTTTTTAAATGTTTGTTTTAAAAACTCTATGCAAAAGTAGGTCAGTGGTAAAACCTTTAGGCACTCAATACTGTATTGATCTAACTTTTAAGTTGGGTGTAATAATGTTTTTTTTTTAACAACTTTATTTCATCACCAATCCAAAATTCTGGAAGATATACCTGTTAAGACATAAAAATCTCGCTTGAAAGCGACTTCAAGCACATGTATAGGCAAATAAATCGTAGTCCTTCCAAGCTGTAGACATATAAATTCGAAACGTTCTTGTCCAATTATGTTGGGCGCATTCGAGCAAAGATTTACGAGAGTCCAAGTATAGGGTTTGCGAGTATAGTGGGGTCGTTTGAGAAATTGCGACGTCTTGCATCTCTGTCTTGTTAACGATTCCACTACAAGTGGGCATAAAAATTAGATCAGTTTATTTTTATTTCCTCAATAAATGTTCGGTCGTTTTTTTGAAGACGTTTTGTCGCTGATTTATTGGCAAAATAAAAGTTGCAGATTCAGGCCAGGTTTAAACTTTTTTAAATAACCTGTTTTTACAGGGTTGCAAAATATTGGCTAATTCAAAAACCTACATGGCACTTAGCCGACTATTGAGTGAGTCTGCTTGGACTCGATTGAACAAACGATCGTTCACCGTAACTTCTAGTGAACGATTAATTACCAGTGATCTAAATGCAAGAGGTGAAGTGTCAGGTGTCAGTAACTAGGTATCACAGCAGGTTCACTTGATCTGAGATCAAAGATAAACGAATACGGCTTGAGTTGATTGCACTTTATAAAATCCTATATAAGTGCAATAAGAGCAGACGTAATTCATAGGAGAACAAGCTTCTTTTGTAAAGAATACCTGTTAGAAAGTTTTTTTCAGGTAATGACCAACGTGAAATCAGGGACATAAGAGTCCCTGTTTGGGAATCGACCCATTGAGTAGTGGACAGAGAGCCTATGTCCTTCTGATGAGTCATAACAAGGACGAAACGCGCCAAGGATTGGCACGGGAATGCAGGGTCCACTACTCAGTGGGTCGATTCCCAAACATGGACTCTTATGTCCCTGATTTTACGTTGGTCATTACCTGAAAAAAACTTTCTAACAATTTTCATTGCCAACGAAAGCTCAGACCAATCAGTGTAGTTCAACGCCGGTAGGGATATTTGCCCTCGAAGTAGTTGTTTCTGACTGGTCAACGAAGTTCAATGAATATCTGTACCTGTCAGAATTGTCAATCTTTTGTGGTTTTGATCGAAAATAAAGTTCTGTCATTTGTTTTTAGTTTTGGATTGTGGTAACAATAAGGCACAGTTTTTGGGGTTCTGTGCCGTGGAGATCAAGGTCGTGTAATCTCCAAGATGGGTATTTCTCCTCTATCTAGTAATAATTTCGTCTTGACCAACCTTACTTTGTAAATAAAAACTTTTCAATTGCGCGAAATGCTACTCGACTATTTTTTTAACTCGGCTGCGCCTCGTTAAAAAAATCAGATCTCGATCACCAAAGTATTTCGCGCCCGAGTTGCAAACAATATTTTTTCTACAACTGCATTTAAATATCGATAATTCGAAGGCAAAATTGCATTTTCAATCAAAGGTAGGTGAATTTTAATTATTTTTGGTTTCCTGAAAGGTATGTGTCACCATGACAGCAGTGTGCGAACTAGCTATTACGCGCACTAGTGTGCGAAATAGCTAGTTCGCGCACGGCGTCATGGGAACGTTAAAAAATCAATACCTGGGAAAAAAAGTGTCACTTCGCAAACTGTCATGAGTGTGCGAACATCATCATTTTTTGACAGTTGTAGAAAAAATATATTATTTATTACTTTCCACCAAGGCGACTGAAATATTACATAATTTTCTTTCGTTTCCAGGTCTTTGGATAATCCAATCCCGTACTTTATATCGGAATAGTTTAAGTGACGTTATTGTTTTTAAATTTGGGGGGATTTTGTTGAAAGTTCTTGGGCCTAAGAAATAAAAACTTCTCTGGGTATGTGTCAAGTCTATTTTGGGGATTTTAAATGTTAAGTGTTGATTTTGCCTAGTTGAATATTAATTTGTGTTCTACTTTACATTCGCTCTTGTCCACAGAAAACTGCTTTGTTATTACAGAGATATGCGAGGGAAATAGAATGCGCTTAGACGACTGCGCATCCGATTTATTGGTAACGCATAGGGGGCCGCTATTTTTATCACTTTTCACTAATTCTTACTTATGCCGTTTCCGATTGGTAGATCTAGTGCGTTTTTTTTTCTATTTCTGTCTTTTTCTTCTACAGGTTGATGAAAAAGGATGAAAATACACTCAATGTTCATAAAATTTACCAATCGAAAACGCTATTAGTTTTTACGTTGACAACTTCAATCTGACAGACTTTTCACAACATAACCTTACTTTTGGTCGGT